CTACTTACTGATATTTATTGCGCCCAGAAATGTGTACGGGCCGCCATAAATCTCCGCATTCACACGGAGTTCCTAATTTACATATTCTCCGCCGAGTGCTTCTCTCTATTTCTCTCTCATTCTCTTCCCCCTCGCGTTTCTCCTTCCTCCGCGACTTTCCTCCCGTCCTCTTTTCTCGCTGCTGCATCCCCTGGCCTCCCCGTCTACGCGCGACGCGTCGTCTTCTTATGACGCTCTCCTTGAATTTTCTTCCCTTTCCCGTCTGGCTTACGCCGACACCGGCACCAACCGAATTATGTTACATCAAATAAAGCGCTCGCTCGGTACCGCGCGAAATGTTGCCGAAATTGAAAGAAATAAATGAGACATGTGACGTGCGAAGTGAAGAAACGCTTATTTTAGAGGCTGCGACGACTCTCTTTTCTCTTTTTGACTTTGAATGACGTTCATCGAAATCGCAAGCCACCGAAAATAGGAATATTAGAACTTAATCTAAAAAAAAGAGAAAAAAAAACGGAGGAAGAAAGAATTCGAAGACAACGAGCGTGGACACCGCCTTTCGTAACGCGCTTCTTAATGGTGCATTAACCTTTGCCGGCCCTCGAAATAGCTCGTTCGATTGCAATTAAGGTATCGATCGTAAATTCGTTCGCCCCTGAAGAACAACTTGTAGCGAAACGAGCAGCTCGTAAGAACTCGCCCCCGTCGCACTTTCTCCGTCTCGGAGCTGTCAGAAGCGATAGTCATTTTTACAAACCGCTAATTCGTTACCAACTTTTATCACTGCGCCCGTAATTGCATGCCGTTCCGGCGGGCCTTCATTACGTACCTAAGCACTTTCAATGTTCATCGATCAATCGCGCGGCTTCTAATCTTCCCCGCATCAACGCATACGCGTTTATTTCCTGTTAAGATATGATCCCAATTTTTGTCTCGGCTTCTTTTTCTCAATTCCTTAATGAAAGATCATTATCTTGCGTATCGTTACATTTTACTAGCAGGAAAACGTAAATAATTAAGTGCTGTAAATGTCACGGCCTACAATTTCTGACATTTAAAGGGGACTTTCTGCGCACGCAAGTATTTCTCGTAATTTATAATTTCTAACGGCATAAATAGGAAATGACTGTTAATTTCGTCGTCGGCTTCGTGCCGTATCGACTGCATCGCGATTTTATCGCGATTAATCACCGGCAATCTCGACGATTAACCCCTTCCGCACTTGCAGCGCGGGAGGATGAAAGCGCGTCTCTCCCGCGCGAAGTACGACGAGGTGGGCAAGGGTTAATACTTCACCTCCATCCTTCCTGCCGAAATCATCGCGGAACGAGGCGTGAGAAAACGATTATGCCCGGCGAAGCCGCTCTCTTGTCGAGAGGCACCCGCCGATACATTATAATGCGTATTTATGCGCTCGATGCTGCGCACGTATGCGTCGCACGCGTGTGCGGCTGGCGCGGGGGAAAAAGGAAAACGAAAGTGGCCGGCCGAGAGAGATGGAGCGCGAGGCGGGAGGACGCGGGGCGATGGAGAAAGGGGGAAAAAGTGCGCGGGAGGGAGAGAGACGCGCGGATGCAGGACAGGCAACCGCTCGGGGGTGGGAGTGGATACAGCGCGGTGGAGGAGCGTCTTCCCCGAGAGAGAGCCTCGTAAAATGGAAATCAATTACATCTACACTTAACCACTTAAACTGGTTTCGCCACGGTCCTAAAGCTCGGCTTCTCTCTCTCCCTCTCTCTCTCCCCCCCCCCCCCTCTCTCTCTCTCTCGTCGCACGGGGATGAGCAATGTGTGCGAATAGTTGCGCGGAGGGAATGTTACGCGAGGTATCGAGGAAAGAGGGAGGGGGTGAGGAGAAAACGAGGGGAGGAAAGTATCGATGAGAGAGAAAGGGAGAGAGAAGAAAAATGGGGGGTTACGTATAGAGCAACCGGTGAGCATCGCTAGGGGCTTCACCCTCTCCTCTCCTTTTCTTTCTTCTCCCCGTTGGTATTCTTCCTTTTCTTCTTCTTCGTCGTCTTCTTCTTCTTCTTCTTCTCCTCGTCTTCTCCTGTTGTTCTTCGTCGGTCTGCGGCTCGCCGCAGATCATTCGTATCAACATAATTACAAGCTCAGGAGCCGCCTCTCTGTTTCTCTCACCTCGCTCCACCCATCACGACGTAACACACGATCGCTTTCGCGCCCCGGTGAAACCGTTGTCTTCTTCTTCTTCTCCGCCGTCCTCTGCTCCTTTCGCGTTTCTTCCGACCGTGGATACCTTCTACCTGGCCGCCGCGTCCTCCATCGCTAACTCAACGGGTCCTTAAAAGACTCTGCCGAGTACTCGTTGAATGTCTTCGGAGTAATTGGAGAACGCCCCGCGTGCAATTTAGATGTTCAACCTTGGTTTTCTTGTTTTTATGAATAAAAAAAAAGCATTATTAAGCCACTCTCTCCTCGCATGAAGTTCGTGAGGATTTTAGATCTGCCTGTTTATTAAATTCCAAGAAAGAGACCGAGATTATCTTCGCAGAAATTTTTAAGTGGATTGCCCCGAAAATTTATTATTTCATAACCTTCAGTCATTGGCGCTTAATACTTTCGGTAACATTTTAAAGATTCTGTATCACTCGCTTGTGCAATAAAATGTATGGATACAGCGCGAACAGGGCGTGGAAAGTGGGTAAATGCACTTCATCGTCGCTTGTGGCTCAATTAACCTGATCGCGTTTTATTTTTCCAATTGAGTTACCTACGGCCGGAAGTGTCATCGTACACATCATGAGCAATGTGCGTTCTCGTTATTGGCGTCTGGTTCAGCGCTTTGTATTTCGCGTTCGAACGAGGGTTAAAGGGCGTCTCGTGTCGCCGCGGCTGCGCTCAATCGCGCGAAACAGTTGCGGTGCGGCGACCCGACGCGCCCAACGACGCGACGTGAAGCAACCGTCGCCACGGAGGAGAACCATACCAATGCGATACGGCGATAGCGACACGCTGCCGATGCCGAGCCCGAGGGTTCGAGTGACAGAAAGAGAGAGGGAGAGAGTGAGAAAAGGTGTTAGTCATGGAACGAGCCGAGCCCTTAAAGCAGCCGCATCTGAGAATAATTGCTCGCTGACAGGCCGTGAAATGAATTTATTTAATTTCAGATAGGTATAACAGAATTACACGGCAGTTGAAGGTGCGATGAAGCCTGGGTGGCGCGGCGAGGGCGTCACCGGGTGAAGAAAGAGTGGGTGACGGGAGATACGCGCGGTTCTCCCTCGAGTCATCCACGAAACGAGTGCGCAAGGTGCACGAAATCCCGCGGTGCGCGTAAAAGACGATGCTGACGCGACAGAACTCGTGTCCTTCGTCAAACAAGCTCGTAAAATCACATAAAATTAAATTCATAATAAGCAATTAATTAACAATAGCAAATCTCACTACAGTAGGAACTCGTCGTATCGATTTTTTTCTTGCTTAATATTTTAAGGATTCTGTAGGATTTGAGTCGAAAGCAGGCGCGTGTAATCTCAATTAGACGTTTCTCAATAACGACAGATCGTTTATTTGTGGAGGAAAATACAAAGAATGTGAAAAAGAGGGGAAGAAGATTAATTATAAGAAACGCAAAAAGTGTAGGCGATTGAGTGGTCGGATGGTTAATGAAAATTCATTTATTTTCGTCGTGCTACATCAAGGAAATACGGCGCTGAACTACTCGCTACCATAGAGGTTTCTTTATATACAAATTGCACCGTCCTATGGCAAGACGCGCATTAATACTATCGCGGTATATCATACAGTTACGTCGAATCGTTCTCTCTCTCTCTCACTTTCACGCACGATTTCGCACTCGCTCTCGCATTTACATATTCAGCGTACGTACATACATACATGCATACGTATACATGCAATCATCACGTTACAACATCACGTTATCAACAAGATACCTGTTCCTTCTAATGAGCGTAAAATTACTATTTACAGATCGAGATCGAACACCAGAATACAAAGATCCTCTTTGATACTCGCAAATCTCTACGATGAGATATTACGCGAACACGGGGCGAGACGCGTTCTGGCGCTAAACCGTTGGAACAGTCGAGATTTACGGTAACTCCGACCTGCGAAGAAATCGATTTTCGCAGCCTCGAGTATCCGAACGATCGGGATGTCCGTCAGATCTTTGAATGTACAATTGTGTGGTTTTCTGCGGACTCACACGTTCTCGTGTTGTTTTCGGGACTTTTGGAAGTTTGAGATGAACGAACGTATGCGAACATCTCTCGCACGCAGTTCGGTTCTGCAACTTGCTGGGATACCTGCTAGTTTGCATATTCGGATAAACCGTGATGCTGGCGCGAAATTTCAGCCGCTGCACCACCGATACGTTCGCCCCGCGCATAATATTAATGGAACGACATGTATACACAGAATTACATTTATATATTATATTATATAAATATCTATGCGTGTTACACAGACGGTCCGCGATTAACACACTGGGCGCTAGGGATAGTTCTTTGGTTGCACCTGGATGTTAAAGGGAAGCATGAACGTTAAGAACACGCTTAAGCTCGCAGTCGCAAGCGACTCATCGTTCTTCGTTGCTCTGTAAAAGGTATGCATCACACAACTCAATTACATTACGCATAATCGATGATAGAACTAAATAATATATCTGGTACGTATAATAATAATAATGTTACTTCTAAAAATTATTAACAAAGAATATACATTTGTGCCAAGTGTTCATGTTCAAGAAATAAATATATTCAATCTATACTTCTCTTTTCTTAATAATATGACGTAATAATTAATAGAATCTTGAAAGATTAAAAATTGAACCTTGCAACACTAGCTATAATATATTTGTCACTGATATGTGTCGTTATAAAGTAATTAAAGTAAATCAATAAGAATCACGTTTTCAAGGAGCGGTAGGAGTAATATTTGAAAAGTAATTTTTTTAACATCCCTAATAGCACAGAAATATTTTAAAAGGTTAAATATATTTTAAAATCTTTTTAAAATACTTTACAAATATTTTAAAATATATTGAATCTTTTAAAATATTTCTAGGGATGTGAGCTTAATTTTTCGACCAACTTGAAGAATAATAAAGAGAAGATGAATAACAAAAACACTCATTGGAAAAATGTATATGTCGCAATTAACGTAACGATTTGCCATCAATTGCACAATTTATTTTTCTTATTTATGTCCTATTTACGGCCGCAATTAATTATTCTTTTCCAATTACATCCTGAATTTCGCATTCGTTTGTCACTATAACAAAAGTGCAGTTACTTACATGAGATGTTACTTACTTCTGTATCGCTACGCGCGTTTATCGATAACGATAAAGTGTATGCGCGTATACGCGCCCTTGGTTCCGTGAAATTTAATCCGCGAAATAGAGTGGACAAGCAAGAAGACCCTAGGTAGCTCACGAGGAACACTACCGACGCGATCAGAGCGACTTTGATTTTCGCTTATTCCCTTCTGCTTTTTATGAGAAGAAACGTGGTAACATACATTTTTCCGTACAGGCCTTATTTGCGCACCAGGGGACGCCAAGGTTAGAAAAAACGTTTTACGATCGATACAGGATAAACTATATCGATGACTCGAATAAAAGATCTCGTCAAGCAGATTCATACACAGAGTTTTATTTACCTGTGGTTCGTAGATTCATAGTTCGTGAGATTAGAATGAGCCATTGATCAATATAATTATATAATTATTTAACCAATTATATGATTGCATGATCAATTATATTTTTTTAACTTTGGCGCTGCCTGGTGGCCAAACTAAAACCTATGTAGAAAAAAATTAACAAATTGTAACCCACATACAGAAAAAGAAGTGTTATCACATCTTTTTCCTATGAGACACCTGAGGAAGTAGAATAGTCGCGAATCAAGTAGTTCGAATTGTTTCGTTCGTGTTCCTACCTGTTAGTAGGAAATGTAGGCCCGGCAAGCGAAAGATTCCACGTTTCGGGGCTCGATCACGAAAATTTTCCCCTAGCGCGAGCTCGTAAAATATTTCTTTGGCGAATATCGAATTCGTTAATGAAACTATTCACACCGTTCACGCGTTCGCGCTGGGGAAAAAGATACGTGGTTAAGGCCGTGGGGCTCGATTCTTGAATTCATTCGAAGGAGAAACGTACACGAAAATTGTGCTCCGACAGAAAAGTTGCGAGTCGATTGGTCAAAAGCCACGCGAATAGCCAATCAACTTGCGGCTCTTCTGTAAGAGCGGAATTTTCGCATACGTTTCCCCTTCGAATGACTCGAAGAATCGAGAGCCCCTGGTCTAGTCTTCGCGAAAGTCACTACGCTGCGCGTCTTGGTGCCCGTCTCCCCGAGGATACACCCTCGCTTATTACTACATTGAGTTAAAAACGTGTCGGAACCATTTCGGTTCCAGTCCCGATGTCGGTGTCGGTGCCACGAATCACAGAGAGAGGGAGAATGAACGATGATGTCGTAGCCGCTGAGTCGCCAGCGCCTATGGGGATCGCTAATTGGGGGATGACCGGCATATCGACGGGGACTCGCTGCGGAGGCAGCCCTCGATCGGATAGGGCGTATACCTAATCGGGCTCCTGGTGGGCGACCGTCGCGACATCAGCGATGTTGTCCAGGGCCACGCCGGATACGGGAAACAGTGGCTGGTGGAGAAGGGCGACGGCGAGCCGGTCCCCGGCGTACATCCCCCCCTGCCGTACAAGATCGTCGACGCGGGCGACAGCCAGGGCGCCAACACGGCGTTCTCGTGCTGCTGTTGCTGCTGCGCGGACGGCTGCTGCTGTTGCTGCTGCTGTTGCTGCTGCTGCTGCTGAAGAGTCGCGGCGGCCATAGCGATCGACGGCATAGCGAGATGTTCGTAGATTCTCACTGATGGCACGCCGCATCTCACTAACTGCTGTTCCATCAGCTCCATAGGATCTCTGGAATGATAAAGGGCAGAGGGTGTCGTCAGCGTGCGATTCGAAATGTAAAGCGGATCTCGTAATCCTCCCTTTTCGTGCTCAACTTTGCGTCTCGCGACTAGAGAAGATGTCCTTTAGATTATTTTAATTTATGAGCGACGCAAGGTTTCATCACGCGTCGTGCACTATCGTGTGCACGACATTCTCTCGGACTCGGGCATTATAATACACACGTTTTCAAAGCACACATTACAAATCGCAGTACTTACAAATGTAATGGCTCGAGTCGTAATTTCGCCGGAGATGTTAAGCAAGAGAGAAATAACCTCGCGTCATTAATAATGTTAACGGAATAATCGAATAGACAGTCGGGCGAAAAGACTCGTTTAAAGTCCGGTGCACAAACCGCGTCTGGGAATCGGCATTGGGATTAGACGAGGAATCGAACGGAGCGGCCGCGCGATCGTGCGACCGAGGGGTCGCGATCCTGCACGCGGCGAATCGACCGAAACGGCAAAGATCGCGCCGGCCGAGCAAATAAATCGTCTGAAGCCGCGGGAACGCGAGACAGAGCGAGATAAAATCGTCCGTTCTTAAGGCGAGAGAGGCGGCCCTCGCCGGCTGATTAATCGATCGACGTTATCGGCATTAATAGCACTTAAAAGGGAGTAAATCAATGAGATTCCTTCACGGACGCGCAGAGTCGACAGAGAGACAAGACCGAGAGAGAATGGCGGGTAATTAAGACGAGCTTTTCTCTCGTAGAGAGACGTGCGCGCGCGAGGTGGCGGCGACGAGCGGGAGGGGGGGGGGACGGCGCAAGAGCCTCTTTCTCCCCCAAAGCAACAAACGTGATGGATGATTTCGTGCGTTAGGCGCGGGCTTAATTAGGGTTAATTACGCGCGATTGTGCGCGGACGCGCCTTCGTTGCTTCGTTACTATCGCGGCAGGAACGCTAACGAGCGGATTATTGGCCGATCACGGATGAAAACGCGTCGCGAACCGGCGATAGGGTCATTCTGTATGTCTTTCTTCCCCCCTTCCTCTCTTTCTTTCTTTCTCTCTTCCCCTTCGCGCCGTCGATAATTAACGACCAAGTCTCATAGCGCGGAATCACGGCGAGTCACTTCCTACTTTCGTGATTACGCGCGGGAGCGGCGTATAGGGACACGCCGATTATCGGCCGGTCTATCTCAATTATTAAGGCTTCATTACGATATCGCGAATCCGAGGCGGCGCTTCGTAATTGCTTTCGATTTCAAGCCCGGCGAGGTAAAGACCGATTGCGCAAAGCCGAAGGCCGCAGGAGCGAATCAGAATGCTCGATGGACTCTCGACGTGGCCCGAAGGAGTTTTCTCAGTCGTTTTCCGCCACTTAAGGCGAACGAGTCGAATTGGTTCGACGCCAGGTAGACCGAGACGTTCATATCGCGCGATTGGCAAACTTCGAGCCAATAATCCGCTTCGTTACTTTAATTTTACACCCGTTTGACCTCTTAATTGGCCATGACGTTTCTTCGGCCGTCTTCTCTTCGGTTCGTAAAAATTCGTAGTACTTGGAAAAACGTAAAATAGGCACCCGTCTACATTTTTCCTCCCGGATCACGTAATATGTTAAATATTGAGCTCAGACCATCGATTGTGAACGAAGAATAATTCAGGAATATAATTTGATAATCTTAGAAGATAAATTTAAAAGATAAAATATTTAGACACTAACACCCTGTCACGGCTCTTAGTCCTTTATTCCTTTAAATCCGTGTTAATCTTAGAAGAGCTATAAAAAGCCGAACCAATTCCCATGAATGTTTAACGCCAGCAATCTAACTTGACTAATATTTCACTCGGGGAAGATGTAGAAAAAGCGCCCTTTCTCTTAAAATTAACACCTGGCAAACAGCCAGGAAGGATGTTTATTCTGCGTATTTTTAATATCCCTCGAGATTTGGCGATTTGCTCCGAGTCTCGTTGTCTACTCGATCTCGGGATCTTAAGACGAAGGCAGCGTCGATGGATGGCTACCGGTTCTTTCGCGCTTCTCGGAAGTCAAGTGGCTGAGAGACAACTTGATACTAGTATCCCGCCGGATAATTTGAGCACGGGCCGCCCACGAATGATACTTCTTATCGATCATCCAGTTCCGCGAACCGGCAGCCGTCGAGATATCCGTAGACGCCTTTCATAACTGGCGTTCGATAACTCAGCATTTCGTGCACGAAATAATTTAGGGGCGTGCATAGTAAAAAGGTTCCGGAGAACGTATTTGTTCCGGTACCGCATCCCGGGAATTTCAGGCTGTGCCTTCAGTCCGCGCCCCCGCGAAAGTATACGCTATCCGACTGTCGCGAGGAAAAGTCATACAGTCCACCCGTAGCTTCGTCCGCGAATCGCAGAAGGGGCGGCGCGACGCGAAGAACGCAATTTCGAAGATAGGAGAAAGATTAGCGTTTCTCGTCGAAAATCGTTAGCCCTGTTGCGTCGAGCGATTGCCGTTCGTGGAACATTCGGCGCGACAAAGCACTTCATCATCTCACGCGAACCGACGTCGTCGGGACCGTACAATTCAATCCCCCGACCGGCACCCGTAATGATTCTGTCTCCGTGGACCAGAGCCGGGAGGGGCTGGCTCTCGCGGGTCTAGTTACCCCGGAGGTCACCAGGCCAGGCGACACCCAGTCAAGGAGAGAAGGGTCAGCCTTCGGTAGTTGCCAGCCGGCACGTCGGCGACGAGAGCCCCGACTCGTAAAGCCGTAAAAACGGTGGTGTGAGGGCGGGACAAAATCACCGTGACTGCGCGAGACTCGGTGCACAAAAAATAAGAGAGTCGCGAGAAATAAGATCTGCCGGGGGGGGGGGGGGGAGGACTCACTCTCAACGATTCCAGCAGGATCCTTTACTATTTTACATCTTTATTTTACTATTCTATCTCTCTATTAGAGAGGGCTCTGCGCGCATGTGTGTTTAGATGTGCGGGCAAAGTTAGGAAACTCGAGATAACTTGAGGAAGTTTTCTGAAGATATCAAGTGGCTAAGATATTACCAACTGTAACGTACTTCTCGAGCGAATAATAATGCAGAAGCGATGTTACGTACCGAAGCGTTACGCGGTGGAAAAACGTCTTTATCTTGAGCGCTATTGCAGGAGAAAGAGGTCGAAACCCGGTTGAAAATCGCGGTGCGTTCCCTGTGAAATGCCGCGGTGACCAGCCATTCGCATCCGGTGCCGGCAACATTCTGCGTATATCGCGTGCTGTATTGATACCCGATCGAATCGAGGGGAAGCGGGACGAGGCGGGGCAAATCGAGTCGAAGCCAAGAGGCCCCGTGGACGCGAGGCAGTCCGAACGTGAACGGGGGTGGACGAGGGAACGGTGGCGAGCGCTGCAGGAGCCAAGCGGAGGGACGTAGGGGAGGCCACGGGAACAATGGGTCCGGTGTGCGCAGTCCGCGTCTCGGTTACCGTTCGGCCTTACCGCTTAGCACGTAACACGACACCCGAGGAGGCGCACGAGCGTGCACATGTGCGCAGAAAATGCGCGCGCGCGCACACGCACGCACGTACGTGTGTGCACGCGATGGTACGTGGCCGCGCGAGAGTACGCTCCGAGCGGGAAAGAGGAAGAGGCTGCGTCGAGGAGGAAGGAGCCCCGGAGGGGTGAAACCAGCACGGGGGAGCAAGGGAGGAATTAGGGGGGCCTGGGGCTAATCGCCGTCCACTCGGACGTGCCGGACCACACACCGCCGCGTCCGTCCGCGGCCATTCCTCTTCTCGTTCTCGTGAAATATCGCTGTCAAGGGCCCGAACTCTATTAGCCGAGTTCCGCGGGTACTTGCCCGGGTACTTGGCCTCGTGTATCGATCCGCCGGGATCGATCGTGATCCGAGATCTCGCGGATAGCAGGATCGCGCGGAGGAGGGTAGGGCGGGACGAGCGAGTCGGTGATTTAGGCGGATCCCGAGCGTGGATCGCGATCGCGATTGCGCGATAGGGCGCAGCTTGGAAATCTTAAAACGCACGAAAGTGTCAGGCCACCGCGAGGCGTGGAGTCGACAACAGTCTCGGCGTTTAAGTATATTTGAAAAAAAAAATCACGCGTAACGTGCGCGTTCGCGGTTCGTTTGAAAGTTCTGTACATTGATAAACGAGCGCGATACACTCTGATAGCTGTAACTTTGAAGAGGAGGCGAGACCGGCGATGCTCGTCCCGGAATAGTAAAGTTTCCAAGGTGTCGGACGAGTGGAAGATTGGGGATGTAAATCCAGGGCGCGGAAGACGTTACGCGCTACCATCATTCGCCGGTGGCGCGCTATCTCTCTCAGCTTCGAAAATAGCTTAATCACACGGGGCTCGCAGAAAAATCCAGGAATCAAATTACATCGTTCGTACCGCGGAGAGGAACAGGTAGGCAGTCCCCGTCGCACACAAGGGGAAGAGGGGGAGGGGGAGGGGGGGCGCGCACGCACACACCCGTATGCGTGCATACGCAAAACGGAAATGACGCAGCGCGCTAGCAGCGCGGTCTCCTGTGCATTAAGGCCCAGGCTGCAATTCACGGCGGAGTGTGGCTATAACGCTGCGCCTCTCCCCGGCCTTGAATTATATCCTTAATGTTTTCATAAAGCTTCCTTATGTACAGACAATAAAAGCCCTAATTACAGTCGTTCGCCGGGCGAGAGAGCGGCCTCCGGGGCCGGCCGCCTATTACTATTCGCGCTATGCCAGGGCTCCCGTAATTGTTACACCGCGATAAATATTCCTCATCGATCTGACGAGTCTGCGTTTTCCCCCGTAATGGCGCGGTTACGGTCGAAACGTTCTAATTAGAGGCCACCGCCGTTACCCATTAAAATGTCCATGACGTTCTCGCGGCTACACCCCTCGAGTGCCGCCGTCCAGGAGAGACAGAGAGAGAGGAGACTAGTCTAAAAATAAGAGGGAAAAGAACATCCCACATAGTCGATTCAAATTTTTTTCCAACTACGCCGTCGCAGCGTTCGCACCGATTAAATTTATTA